TGTTTGGCGCAAACCATTGGTTAATGTTTACGCTCAGTTCTGCGGTCGCTGCTTTGATTCTGTATTAATGGACGATGGTCACTTTCATCAACTACATGACTTAGCTCGTCATTGTAGAATAGATCATCGGAAGTTCTCTCTGAATAAATGATACCATTCTCGTGAATTTCTGATTATAATTCTTTTATGATGACTGTGTCAGGTCCCGAAGTCAGCGTGCAGTCGCTAGTTCAAATATGTTTCAATTACATAAGTTAAGCCTCTATATTATCTATCAATGGAAATCTCTCTCTGAACCATCAGACGCAAAGATTTCGATTTTATTTTACGATACCATGCCATTCCGTCAGAAGTAGGAGTTTATTTAATTGGTAGCTGATCATTTATATCACTAAGTTAAATTTTTCTTCATATTATACACCGATCGATAGCTCTCTGTAAACACAGTATGATTTTTATCATGATTATTAATTTGGGCTTTGCGCTTTGCTAGACGATTTCACAGCTTTACACAGGATCACAGTAACTCACAATTTTTGTATTGAGTTGCACTTGACAGTTCGTCTTCGCTGTTTGCCCTTCTTCTACCTTGTTTATATGTTCATTGTACTTGAGCAAAGTGATACCTAGGAATGATTCATTGGCCAGTGATCATGACGGTCAATTTATTTCTAAAAATTTTGACATTTCAGTATGAACGAGATCTAAAATCAAAATGTTGCAGCGATGAACCAAAGTAAAAAATTTTCTGTCATGTGAATTTTTTTATTTGTAAAATATTTTGTCAATAAATAATCCTTCAGGTTTTCGATTTTGGGCCCGTAGTTACAAAGATAAGTGTCTGAACGATTCATTGTTCAGAGCACTAAGCACCGCAATGGGTACAACACTTTACTGCCTAAGCGTTTCGCCGCATCATCTGCTAAGTACAAATGAGTGCGTAATCGCACTAATGTCCATCAAACGAACAATACTTTACAATCAACATGTTGTTAAACTAAACGACCAGGATGCTAACCAATAAACAGTCAGAAATTTTCATTAAAACAATCGAATCAAATGTGCAATCGTCTCCCAACTTTCGCTAATAGCCACAGAAGATGTGTAATCATTGCTCACCCGGTTTTTCTTCATCATCTGCTTCATCTTCCTTGACCGCTTCTCCTTTCGGGCTCTGAAGGCACGCCCGTCAGACAGTGCTTTCAACGTCCCCGATCCTTGCCAGAACATGAGCTTCGGCAGAACAACTTGAGTTCGGAACAGACTCCTTCCATGTATTTGCACCAGGTTAATCTTGGCTTTCCCGTGGGACTTCTGCCGATCGGTTAGGCAAGAAACAGTTGCTTAGCCTTCCTTTCTGTACGCATTCGCAGCTGTGACTTCTCACTCTGAGGAAGTATTAAGTTTTTCATTGCCAGTATATGCAAATATCCCTTTATCAGCATACCTAGTTTAGATTGATCCATGCCTGTAACAGATACATTGGTCTGACTGAAGGAACGCCCTTCAGTAATCGCGTGTTGGGCATAATCGGAATCGTCAGCCTGTTCAAGGCGGATCGCACAGAGGAGCTCTTTTGTCCTGATGTTTAATTTCCGGTTGGTCCTTCCAATGTATACCTTATCGGAGTCTCTGCATTGAACTATGTATAACATTTGACACATATTCAGGGCTATTAATGTACAAGTACCTTTTAAACAAGATGTCGCCCAATATTCCTCCAGTATTGTAACTTTCCCCGGAACTTATGCAGCCCAATTCAAGATTAAGATGGTCAGTTCATGTGGATAAATGATAATGCTATCGTTTATACCCTAGGTATCTCAACGTATTATGAGGTTCCTCAGCTACATGGGGGTTTAGAGTCTACTACAATGGATTTCAAATCTGAAATTCACAACCGTGTTGTATTCAGTTACAGTGAACGTTTCACTGATATATAACATGATAGGCGAAATTAAAATAGCTGATGCAGATGACCGCAGTCCAGTTATACAGGATCAAAGCTGTTACCATTGCACCGAGTGGTGGCAACGACCATCTATATGCGTTCAAAAACGCCTCATCCCCCTCGTAACTTCTATACTAGAATAAGAAAACGTACGGTGAAGCACGTGGTATGGAAACATATGACAACATTTACAAGCGAAGACCTTTAATTTGTACCTGATTGCCACGAAGCTGCACAAGAGGAGCAGCATCAACTTTCGTGTTTAAAGCGGTATTGATATTTTTAAAATTCTTACGTTAAGGAAACGTGGGAAAGTGCAGAGAAAAGTAGAATGTGGTTCCGGGATGTCGGTCTTCCTTACTGTTCCATGATAGACGATATTTGCAGCACCTTACTAGCAGCCATTGCAGCATGCTTGTGTTTTGACTCCTTGCCTTATGATGGTAGACATTTATTCGCTTTAGAAATATGGGATAGACGATGAATGATGTGATCAGGATTTAAACCTACAGTCCTACCTTTCGGTTACTCTTTCCTTTCCACATAGGTGGTACCCTCCATGTTAAAGTTAAGATAATTTAATTTTACTGTGAATTTGTTGAATTACGAACAACTTAGCACCTTAGTTTACTATCAGTAAGCTTTATGTGATCGTCTGATTATACTGGGTAACGCGATTGAGTTCTTTATTCATTTCAGACTTTTGCGGCAGTCTGAGAATGGAACTTCGAAAATGCGCCGGAAAACGCAACCATCATCACCTTATACGTACTTGTCTTATAGCAAGGTGAGGAGCTTCGTTCAAAGCGTACGTCATTTTCGCGGCTGTTATAGACGACCGAACGCCTGTTAGAATTTGCCACGAAGTACAGACATGCAAAGGTGTTCTCGCTTGGTAAAACCATTGGAGGGCGAGACCTGACGGTCATCAGGGTAAAGTAACAACCATGAGGGTCCGCTGGGTTGAGGCATAAAGGTCAACTGCTACCTCACTTGTATTTCACGATTTGCACAAGTCAATGTGTGGCCAGTTCGAAACTGTTTACTCCCTTATGATTCCTTTCCCTCTGGGAAACCTCAATTCCAGCGGACGCCTCTGGTGACATTTGCGGTACTTAGGAGGACAAAGTCACTGGAACTGATTTCAGATTGGAAATGGTGCCAAGTTCGTTTGGATCGACAGTGCCATACATGCCAGGGAATGGCTATCGACCGGCGCGTCGATGGTGATCATAGAAAAGGTACACGCTAAATGTGTCATTTTTGAACCTACCCTGGATCTGCATAGTTGCTGGAGGCGTACAATAGCAGACAAACTGATGTGAACATGATTACCGAAGTCAGTTGGTTTATCTTGCCACTGGCTAACCCAGACGGCTATGAATTCTCTCGCAATCACGTGAGGCATTAGCGATTCTGATGATTTACTTGACCACGTTAATGTTTGCACATTACGTAGGACCGATTTTGGAGAAAAAACAGAGCCTACTGCCGTAGTGATAGTCACAGATGCTGCGGCGTGGATCTTAATCGGTGAGGAATTATATAACCTCGCTAATACGG